AATGGGTGCTTTGCGAACTGTGGCTGGAAATCGAAAACTTATACCAAATGAATCATTGGCTGTGTTTTTTCATTCAGCAAATAAAAATCAGTCAATGAGTTTGATGTTTGATCTGTTAAAAGGATATATTCAAATGTGCTGTAATGAATTCTGTTGGCTATATGAAGATGTTTATATTGAAGCGAGAATTTCTTTGAAAGATGCTTTAGATTTAAATGGTGCTCATTATGTTTTCAGTCATTTCAATAAAATATTTGAAAACAGTCGTTCAAATACTACTGCTGGTCCAAAACATCTCAATTGTCTGGCTATTTGCACAGCATTGAATTATATGCCATTGCTTTTTCAAACAATTTTAACTCTTTATGAAGAACATCAAATGGTAGGAACAAGAAGTAGTCGAGATGGAAATTGGAGCGAAGCAGAAAAAAATGTGATTCGTGTGTTTTTACAAGGAGTTGTTCAAAAAGCAATTGACTGGTTAAATGTAAATAAGCAAGAAGAATTAAAGAAAATGCCATTTGTTTGTAAAGAAGATGAAAGCTGTAATCAAAACTGGGATTTGTTTAATTTTCCCAAAGACAAACAGGCAATTGCTGTTCAAAATATAAAAAAATTCTGGAATGAACTCCAAGAAACTCAGCAACAATAAAAACTGAAGAAAGACGATTAAATTCTAGTGCCACACTGTTTTTATGTCATTTTTCAGAGTTAGACTTTGTCATTGACATGTATTATTTTCGAAGCTTTTTTATAAAATAACGGGAGATCAATTACTGTCAACGCCAAAGTACCAATTCTATGCATTTTCAGAACTCTAAATACATTAGATAGTTTCCGTGCATAATACATAATTTTGTTTCATACTTACCACCAATATTCAAAGAATATTCGTTACTACTTTGAAGCTTTCACACTTCATGATCTTTTCTGTCATGAAACTCTGGTTCTTTTTTATTCACCTTTCTTCTGTTGAATAAATTAAAATAAACAACGCCATTGTATCAAAATTCGATCAAACTCATCCACAAACGAATGAGTTTTTCATATAAAATCATGGTTTCCAAGCACCATCAGCTAGAGAAATATGCGCTAATGTGCATGATAAATCTTTCCATAACTCCCTTACCCTCACGAGAGAACTTGTGTGTATACTTATAGTGATGCCAAATCTAGAAAATTTCACGACAAGAATATCAATTCAAACGATTTTTTTCTAAAAGTTGAAACAATTCCTCAAAAGATGTTCTTCGATTGTTAGAATCTGTTTTGAAACGATTTTAGTTTTTGTGAAGAAATTTTTCGAACATTTTTGAGATCTCGCATCACTCAGAAGTGTGGGTATGGATGTATTGCATGGATACTTATTCAACTCACAGCCACACCTACACCTCTACAGGCTAACTTTCGAATTTAGCCTGGCCTACCAGCCTGAAAAAAGTGACCTATTGGCAGCTGTGATAGGGACATATGATATTAACATTAGAATGATCACATATACAATAGTACAAATCGAAATCATGCTTAATTATATAAAATAATCTTTATGTGGTAAGAATTCTCGAACATAAGTCTTTCGATCTTTGTGCAAATTCATTCGATATAGAATACTATGTTTCAATAAAATTATTGTACCAATTGTGTGTATGCATTGAACAAGATTCTCTTAGGTGTAAATTGTGACACACTGTAGAAATTATATTCATAGAAAATACATCATCGATTCACCATCATATATAACTGACTAAAACAAGTATCATCATAATAATAGAAATAAGAACAGCGTAACAAGCAGATAATGTACGCATCTTATTTCTTCTCTTATGTTATTCATAATATATCTTCATATAGAATTGAAAACAAATCTTAAGAAAAAAACTTGATCTTTTATTGAACGAGCGGTATCAGTAAGACATTTGCTTCATTTTACATTTTATTTTCATGAGAAAATTCTGTCATAATAGATTGCTGTTCAGTCGATCAATAGTATTTGAGCACTTGAAACAATTAGTTGTTGAAAAAGAAATTTTCAAAGAACATCACTTCTGTATTGAGTTAAATATTTCAGTTTGTTTGATAATTTCCTTATAAATATCATTCGATCTTGATTTAATATTTAGAAATAAAAAAGAATCATTTATAATTTTCAATGAATTGAAACTTATTATTATCTATTTTAATGAATATTTATTCAATGACAATTCTTTCTATGAAAATAACATTATTCTGAATAATAAATAATACTTTTTTTAAAAACTATTTCATATCAATGAATTTTTCATATATAAAAGATCATAATAGGACGACGAGGTCATCTATAGATAAAAGAGAGAGAGATAGAATGTTATTTCACATGTGCATTACATATATATGAGTGAATTGCAACTTTTTGGTACGATTGACGCAGGGCTGCCAACCGTACCCCACTTTGGGGTACAATACCCCATTTCGACATTTTGTACCCCAGAAAATTTCGTACCCCAGGGGTATATATTTTGTACTCCATTTCGATTTTAAAGTCTGGAATGTGAACAAGCACCATATCAATGTAAAGAAAGTGTGTTTTCCCACTAGTCTATTCACTTCTATTATCTAAAAAGGTATCAATTAACATTTGACTGATAGATTTCTACATCTGTTTTGTTCAGTGTCGGATTAAAATACTTGGTTGTTCATACTAGTATCGTTATAAACAGCGAAATAAAACTTAAACATTTCTACTTATCTGATTTCTCCGTTTTTCATTAATTTATCTTTCTTATATAAAAAAAAATACCTATTCTATTAGATATATATCTAACTGCAGATTTTCTCTTTAATGAATTTGATGGTATTCGTTGTCTATTTATAATGTTATTTTCCAATTTCGAACTCAACAATTAATTAACACAAAACTAATTGAAAGAATGTAAACAGCTAAGCCTATCTAATTGAAAAAAAAAACAGTGAAATATGATTTTGTTCTCTACAGAAGCAATGTTGTATTATCAGGTTTCTCAGTTAAATACTTTACTTGAGGAGTAAAATCATGTACCTCATTGATGTACACCTTTTTAAATTGGAATGTACCCAAAATGTACCCCATTTTGACTTTTGTAAACCCCATTTAAAAAATGAAAAATGGCACCCCTGGATTGACGAGAAAAGATGAAAATGAACCTAAACAACTTTTGAGTTGTGCATTTTATTAGGCTCTATACCTGTAGTATACAGCAAAAGTTTCCCAACACTTTACCGCATATTAGCTGAGATACGACTTATTTCAACGTAAATGTAGTATAAAATAAATGCGGAAACTTCGGATTTAAATCCGAGAGTTATGTGTACTTCAAAAAGTGAATTATACAAATCAGTCATCCTATGAATGTGTGAACATCAAAATTACACTGCGGAATCTATCATTTAAAACGCTGATTTCTATAGCGCGTTGTCAAACCAATAGGGCTTGGGATCAAATACAGCTCAAATTTGAACTCTTTCCCTTGATTTACCCTAAGAAAGTCTTTTTTCCTATAACTTTATTTCTATTGGTCACTGCTCAACCAATAGTCTTTCGATGGAAGTGCAGTACACATTCGATTTCTGCATCTCTGAAAACCTCGAAGTATTATCACTGTGATCGGAAGATAGAGCTCGATTGGTGGATAAATTAGATTGTGGACCAAAATATAACCTAGTTCTCTTTAATTATCCTTGTGATAGGTGAGTCAGCCTTCTTGCTTCTTTATGTTTGATATATCATTGTGTAGCTCTTGAAATTCTCTATCGAATGGTATATAATAGTTGGGATTTTTGTTTGACTATGATAGGAAAAGTCTTTTACGAAAGCGGCGATGGGTCGACTATTCCATACGAAGCCATAAGAAAAAATGGGTATTTTTGTAATAACTCAGGAACGACTCTGCTGATCCTTCTCATGTTCGAACTCAGTCGAGATATTATAAAGACTGAACTATATAGAAAATTTCGTGGTGATCAGATTCTCCTTTCAAAAGTTATCGTGTAAACGGACGGACAGACACACTGACCGATTCTGGAGTGTACTCACCTTTTGAGTCCACAAAAATGATATTCAATTAACATTGGACTTTATTCTTAAAATCTATTATGCAAATAAAACATTCCTCATCATGTAATTGATCTAGAAAACAAGCTCTCGTTTTCAAAACAACGCTTTCAAATTTTTGAAGTCATATACATAGTTGAGATAATTTTACTTTTTTCAATGAATTTATATTTTAGAGTATTTAAATACATAATGACGTACAAAAAAAAGTTAAAATACAATAAATTACATTGGATGTCTATGTCAGTTTTACTTGGAAAATATTGTTGTAGTTATTGACCGAATTCCTTGAATTACGTGTTATTGCTCACAGTTGCATTTGATATTAAACGATGTAATATTTTCTTTTGAATTAATTGCATCAATTCACTTCTGAAAAATGTTGACGACAAAGTATAAATAAAAAAATGTTAAAGAAAACTCCAGATGAATAAACATATAACTCATATTATTGATAAATGTTTCAATCGTTATACGAAAAGTTGATTTTGTTTGATTTATTGTTATTGTTTGGTAAAGAAGAACACAAGCATTGATAATGATCAAAATTTGTCCCAATTAATATTTGACTAAGTAACATTTTAGAATATTGAATATCTATTCCTGACATTCCAGTATATTCTACAGGTCGAATAGCATAAACAATTGCTATTGGTCTTATTTTTCGTTTGCTTTGCCGAATATTTTTGATTGTAATAAATCTAAAGATCATTATCAGCAATGGTGGTAATAGTCCACTCTCAATCAATAGATAAATAGTGAAAAACATTCCATAAACACCATTCTTATATGAGCAATTACCGTTTTGAATGTCATAGAAGGCAATAGCCTAAATATAGATTAAACACCAAAGTATAAAACTACCAATAATTAATCGTATTGCAGTCTTTGATGAACTCCATCGACGCCAATAAATATCAGAACAACCAGTAAATTAACGATCAATCGATGCAAAAACAATATAATAAGGTGGAACAGCAGCAAAAACACAGAAGAAATAATAACGTATTTTACAAAACCAAAGAAAAATATTAATTGCATTAATATTAAATCCATTAAGAAATATTCTTGTAACAAGAACAAAATTGAAAATGATGTATTGTGAAGCACTAGAAGCTAGAAAATACATAATACATGGAGTTTTACGAAGTTTTCGTTGAGAAAATATAATACAATTGATAGTTGATCCAATATTACCCATAAGCCATATAAGACTCATACCATACCTTGAAATATTCTGATTGAGAAGAGAAACAATATTATACCAATGTATTTCAAAATTATTAGTTCCAAAATTAGTACGATTTGACATTTGCAGTGGATTTAAATAAATAAAAAAGTAAAGGTAAAGTAAGTATATCTAGTTGATTCTTATAGTTATAACTTCTCTGATATTTTCGTAATATAGACAGAATATTAATTAAATTGAAATGACGTCAATTTACTGCATAAAAAATAAAGAGTGTAATCAAGCATTCAAGGCAGAAAAGACAAATACAATAATTCATTTTTAACGATTAACAAAATTTCAATAAAAACACAACTTTTCATAATGTTCAATTACTTGTGAATTGAATCGAAAATTCTCTAATTAATTACATTCAAAAATTCACCTTTTGGCAATGAGTGATTAAGATTTTTTGTTACAACACTAAAGCAGTTGGAAAATATTAGACTTCAATAGAAGATCTAACAATTATGTAAGACAAACCGCAGGATAAAGTAATAGTATGAACAGCAGACAACATGATC